TATATATAATTATTTTATATTACTCTCAAATTGATGTTGAAACTAAAATTTACTTGGTTTTTTAGATATAATTTCGTTACAAGAAAGAGAATTAAAGAATGTGTTACTGTCTTTGCCGACAGTTATTGCAACGAATACAACCTTAACCTTGTATATAGAGATGACTGAACCTGAGGTTATCGTTTTTGTTATTATTATGATTATTAACTGGAGATATTAAACATAAACACTTGCGTGGTATATACCCGATTCCGAAGTACCACGAAAACTAATTTGCGTGACGCTCACGCTAAACTTATAAATGAACTCAAAGCAGGTGTAAGGTCAGTCTTAAATGAAGCTCGTGATTGTAAATAACAAGTTCACGATTGTATATTCGGCGCAAAAATATAGGTATTACTTGTAGAGTGCGTTGAACATTTACCATGTGTTTTAAATATTGTTTACCTTTATTCTTTTGTTTGGGAAATGTACTTGGAGCATCACCTGGTAAATACTAATTTTCAGTAATTATGATAGGTATCAGTTTTCCCTTCATATGAAGTAATTTTAAACAGGCCTTGCTACTATTGTATCATTATTCTTTTGCATTGCAATTACATGTGCTGCAGGTTTGTTTATGGTATTGAAGAAATATGATCATGTTCCTCAAAGATATAATGAACTCGAATGGCTTAAGACTAACAATTTGTATAAACATCATATGGCGATTTTTGTGAAAAAAATACTCAAAAACAATTTGCCGCCTTATTTACGGAATAAACTTTCTTATCATAGTGACAGATATAATCTTAACTAAGGCATGTCCATTTTCTTCAATTACCAAGATTTCATACAGCTTTGTTTCAGAGATCTTACTCATTCAGTGCTATAAGTATATATAACAACTTAAATGACTCTTGTAAATATATGCCTGTAAATAGCTTTTTAATGATTTTAAATAATATTTTTTATATATTTTATTCAATGTATACTTTATATGTACAAATTTTTTTGTAAACTTATTAAGGTTAAGTAGAGTAGCCTTAGGCTATAGACTTCGCCTGTAATCAATACCTATACCTTTAAATAAAGTCATTTATTACTATTATTTATTATTAATAAATAGATAATGTATGTAAATCTAGTTATTAAAAAAATTTGTTAATAACTGCGAAACTGTTAATTATACAAGTAGTCTTCGTTTATATTGTCTATTTTAAAGGTAGAACTGTAAATAAAATTGAACCCATTTCAGCTTATCTTGGTCGCGATATGTGCAGATCAAGAAGGGACTTCACGGTAAGAATGGCAAAAACAGGAGACCTTAATAGTAGGCCAGGTAGCTTCTGGCAATGAAGGTTTTATATTATACAGGGTGGCACAATTAAAACAGTCCACCTGAAATATTTTCAATGCAATAGGTTTTTCCGGAAAACCCCGAAACAGGTCGATTTTGATTTCAAAGGGGACATCTTTTGATCATAAATTCATGAGTGCAGGGTCATCCTCCTAAACGGGGTGGCAACCTCTTCAGGAATCTTAAATGACACATCATTTTAGAGATATTTCAATTCCCTTTACAGACATGCTGACATTTTTTTGTTCTGCCTTAAAATTAATGTAAAAAACCTGTTGAAAGTCATTCTCTGGGATCTGATCGTCGTTTTCAAGAATCTCCACAAATTCTTGCAGTTACTCGGGCCATTTCATTATTTTGAAAATACAGAGTGACAATTTCAATTCTTTCTGCAGTGGTGTAAACCATGATAATTTGAATCGTTTGTTTCAAAATAGCGAATAATAACTAATCTATGGATTTCACTACCTAGACATGTAAAACCAGACCAAACTACATGTAAAATTCTAATAAAACCCATGATCTTATCAAGACTTCGATGATAAAACTCATTTTTCACAGTTTCATTATCCGGTGAGTTTTGCAATTACTATTTCAAATCTTTTTTTCGATTTATTTCACCGACACTTCCAACAGTTTTTTTTTACATTAATTTTAAGGCAGAACAAAAAAGCAGCATGTTTGTACAGAGAAAATACTTTTAAAATGATGTGCCACTTTCAGGTGGACTGTTTTAATTGGGCCACTCTGTATATTAAAATATATGAGCCGTCGTTAATGCGTATCTGAAACTCGCAGATAAGATGAATTTGGTCAAGTAGTACAGTCCGTACAATATTTGTTGAGATAAAATTCTAAGAACTTCTGTAACAATTTACCGCGGCAAGGGCGTGCCTTGAAATTCTGCCTTGAAATTCTCCGGCATTGTGTTTCTACCTCGGGTGTCGAATGCGGGTGCCTTGAAATTTTCCGCCAATGTGTTTCTACCTCTGGTGTCGAAAGGGGTCAATTTCAAGAAAGTGATGCAGGGTTCTCCTTGGAATTCTATCTCAACAAATATCCTACGGACTGTACATTTGCTACTTTTAATGAATAATTTCTTGCATTTATTGCCTTGAAGCTTGTCGTTCCTTCTTAATTTTATTAACTCTATAATTATAGACTTCTTGCAATTTTATTTAAAAACATGAATAACACAGCCACACAAAAAAAAGTTGTCTGTACGTTTTATGTGACATAATATGTTATCCGTAGTATTTTTGCTTCCTGATCACGAATCCGGTTTCAGAATTGAGCGATCACATCACAGGAATTTTCTAACCTCAATAAACAGGTCAAAAATAGCAAAAAAAACGAGAAACTGCTAGGAAAAATACAATTTTTTTTTCTATAATCAAATGTTCAGTTATATGGTTAAGACCCCGCCGAATGTGAATCCGCGGTCAAAATTGATGGTTCTTTTCCTAACCTCAAAAAGACAGCTCAATTAGGGCCAGATATCACGAATTTTGATCAAATAGATCACAATGTTCCGCTATTAAATTTAGAAAGGTTTGATTTTTCTACTGCCTTATTAGATGCCTTTCTGTAGACCATACAATTTTTTAATAGCTTTCCCTATAGCTAAGTTGCGTAGTTTTTGCAAAAAAAAAACGTTTTTATGTAAAATACCGGATTTGCGCCCGTTCCTTTGTCGGGAAAAATATTGTAAGGGTATTTATTTTTATTAAATTTATTAGTTGTCTAGCTACACTATTTAAAATAAAAATTAATAACTGAAAAATTTAGATATTTGAGTTTAATAAATAAGTCTTTATGGAAAGTTACCATTTATTTGTAAATAAAATCAAAAAACCATAAAATCGCTACAAGTGATTAAGAATTAGCAAAATATGGGAAATGTTTGCTAGCAGCACGTATTTACAAAGCAAATAATCCAAATTTACAGAGATTCCCACTGTTTTGAAAATGTGAAGGAAAGGTTTGAATGAACAGCAAATGCGAATTATGAGAAAACTACCAGGAGACATGAAAGTAACAACGATAATATTTAGTTTAAAGTTGTGGCGTCTGCTGTTGAAAATCCAAATATTAGTGCCAGGAAATTAGTAGTAACCTTGGAGTTTTCAAAAGCTTGACAAATAAAATATTGAAGAAGTTTCATCCGTATCATATTGAAAATCAAGCACTGTTACCGTAGTTAGGAAAGTTATTAGTGAAATTGGAGATTAAAAAATTTGGATGAATAGAATTTTGAAAAAAGAATACTCATAGTCGCAAGCTAACTTAAAATAAATACCCTTACAATATTTTTCCCGACAAAGGAACGGGCGCAAATCCGGTATTTTACATAAAAATGTTTTTTTTGCAAAAACTACGCAACTTAGGTATAGGGAAAGCTATTAAAAAATTGTAGGGTCTACAGAAAGGCATCTAATGAAATCATAAAACACAGGGTGTTCTATTTGAAAAAGTCGAGATTTTTCAAATTTTAAATTATCAGGTTTGGCACGATTTTTTTTGCCCCCTGTATATCGCAGGTCAACTTTTGATACGTTTTTTGAAAGAGCCATCTTCACTCTACAGTTCCTGAAAAAAAATAATTTCTAGCTGTCATACAATCATAATTATGTCAACTACTAGAAGTGACGAAACATAAGAAAAAAAAATGAAAAGTCGATTATCTCGAAAACTATCAATATTTTAATAGGGATCATAACACAAAGTCCCGTTAATTTTTCACGTAGAATTCGATAATGCCATAAAAAATATAGGTTTCCATTTAAAAAAATTAAGTTGGTACCTGCCCAGGAAAAACTGAACACCCTGTATATGCAAATATATTTTCATTTTGTGCAGCTCGGGAAAGTAGGCAACTCTGTAGAAAAAAAATTGAGTTATATCTTTTATTAACCTAGGTATTGGACTTACGCGCACTAGGTGGACACGGTGTATACAGGGTGTCCCATTTTTATTCTGAAAAAATTCAGGTGTTACAGCTGAATATTTTTTTTCTTTCCTTGTTAATATCTCTTAGAGTTATAAACCAATTGTTCTCAAATCTTGTGTGGTGAACGCCACAGTGCACTAGTACTAATGCACAAAATCTCAGCTCGACAGAAAAAGCCAGTGGCGTGCATTCCGCACTTGCCGATACCTTTTATAAAAAGTATGTGTTACGCCACTGACTGATCTTTAAAATTATAAGTAATTTCAATTGTCCGTGCATTGTTCTGCTAAAAAGCATTCTTACGTTTTCTCCATAATAGGCACTGTTACGGAGTAAACCGACATTTTATAAAATCATCCCAGATCTTAAATTTAGCAGAACTGTCGTAATCAACAACTGAAACGCTCAGGTTTTTTTTTAAATTCAGTTTCCTTCAGTATTCCTTATCTAAAAAATGTTAAAGCACATTCCTGGTTAATTGAATATTATCTGTGATGTTGATTCCTGAAACTGTAGCTGTAATGTAGCAACGAATATTAAATGTTGAACACACAATGTTTTCTGAACACACTTTGTTTAGAAAATTAAGAGTTGCATTGAAAACAGTTTTGGTTGTCATAATAAACTTAATATGATCACTCTTTGTTGAGAAACGAAAACTTAAATTTACATTAATTGCTCGGGTCTAGTTTATTATAAAATACCATTAAGTGCTTTAATAATGCCATATAAATTTTCAAATGCTGAATATGTTGATATCTGTTACGGATTGTGTATTGGTAACGCGTTGGAGGCATCTCGATAATACAAACGTCCTGATAGACGACATCCAAATTCACCATACAAATTCATCCATGATATGGTAATGTAAGAAAAAACACAACATTAGAGCACAGAAATCAATGAATAAATTTGAGAATTATTCATGCAATTCGTAACAATCCTCGACTAAGCGTTGAGAAGAGCAAGCCAGCAGCTGCAATGAAATAAAAACAAGGTATGGAGAACTTTTTCAAAAGATCAACATGCATATCATTTTAAAAGTGTTCAAAATTTGCACCCTGGAGATGCGCAGAATCAAATGAATTTCTGCTATTAGTGGTTCAATCAAACCGAAAATGATGTTGATTTTATTAACTAATTAAGATCAGGAATGATTTTATAAAATGTCGGTTTACTCCGTAACGGTGCCTATTATGGAGGAAACGCAAGAATGTTTTTTGGTAGAACAATGCACAGACAATTGAAATTATTTATTATTGTGAAGATCAGTCAGCAGCGTAACACATACATTTTATAAAAGGTATCGGCAAGTGTGGAATGCACGCCACTGGCTCTTTCTGTCGAACTGAGATTTTGTATATTAGTACTAGTGCACTGTGGCATTCACCACACAAAATTTGAGAACAATTGGTTTATAACTAAGAGATACTAACAAAAAATGAAAAAAAAAATCAACTTCAACACCCTGTATTTCGGAAAGGGTTCAGATTTCGAAATAAGTTTATATAGCAAAGTCCCTTTAATTTTATTGTATATACCTTTTCCTGAATTTTTTCAGAATAAAAATGGGACACCCTGTATGTCTATCTAATTTCCTGTTTATCTCTATACACCTACCTATCTATAACTAAAAAATTAAAACAGAAATTTTCATGATACGATAAATATCATTGGTGCGAATGTTCAAAATTATGAAGAAAGAAAATATTTAGCTTCATCTAATTGCCTCAATAAATTGTTTTATTTTCATTTCAGATTGGCCAAAGAGTTGTCCCGATATTGTCACTCGCGAGCGATGGGGAGCAAGAACTGCTGCAGCAGTGGATTATGCACTTATTCCTATAAAGTTCGCTGTAATTCATCATACTGTTACTCCTGAGTGTTCTAATGAAGATAGCTGTTCGCAAATTTTGAAGAGTATCCAGAATTTCCACATGGATACACTGGAATTTCAGGATATAGGCTACAAGTAAGTATTAGTAATTAGAGAGTTATAACAATAATTGATTAAAACGAGTTGCTTAAGCCCTGTTCATATGTTTTCAAAAGGAGCAGAACAAATGATACCGATGAATCTACATCTAAAAATAACACATTTCCTTTAGAATGGCCTTAGTAAAAAGCGACTGTAATAAACCTTTTTAGTAGTGACGTGACATACGCCAAATAATAAGCAACCCCATAGTGCACATTGTCGAAGAATTTCTTAATATTTTTACTAGATCAATATTCGATTTTATGTACTTTGGACATAAGTGCCAAAAAAATGTCTTCTTTGTCATAATCTTAAATATTGCGATATTCTGGCATTATTATAAATATTTAAGAAGTTTCAAATCTCAGGTGACAAACTAAAAGAATTATCGAATTTATATGTATTTAAATTTATAGAACAATATTGACTTTTATAGTAGTTAATAAATTAAAATTTTACCAATGATGCTGAGCATGTGCATTAAAGATAATTTCATGAAAGCGAAATAGCCTCAATGGGATATCATTCAAGAAAAGTTTGATTAAGGTTAAGAGTACGTCTACGAGGGTGGTCTGAAAAGTTTCGACCTCAACATGAAGATGGCAGCACTCGTAAATAAAAGCTAGTGAATTTCGTTGTTCATCTGTTGACAGTTACTCACCAAAGTTTCAGCCATTTTGGACACGCAGTTGTTATGTAACAGTCGTTTGAGTGAGTTGATGTGAGTGTTTTTATGAAAATGGACAAAATCGAGTATTGAGCTGTCATTAAATATTTGTTTTTGAAAGGCAATACGCCTACGCAAATCAAAGATGAGTTGGATTCTGTGTATGGGGACTCTGCACCATCATTTACCACTACTACTTGAAGAAAAAAAACACTCGATAAACACAATGACACAACATACTTAGTAGAACTAGGAAATGCCAAGATTAAACAAAATACGAAAAAACAAGCTAATGATGACAGCGATGACTTATCAGCAAGATGTCACCTGTGTATGAGGCTATTCTTGATTGCCGAGATTGCGCATTAGGAATAACACGGCTAATGTTAAATTTTTACTTTATTTAAATTGAGGAATATTTTTATATCGTTTTTTGTAAGTTTTAAGCACATTAGTGTATCTATTTTACGAAACACGTATTGGTTGTTCTTCAATACTTCTAAATACTTTTAAAAATTAATTAATTTGAAGTCGTTTATTTTTATAGTATCTATGTAAATAGTACGCAAAGGTCAGATTCGGTCTGTATAATTTCTACTATGACAGTTTGTTGCGGGTTGCCTAAATATGTGACGTCACACTAAAAGAGTCTATTTGAAAACCAGATTTGGACAACCTGTTTGAAAATGTCTGCCTCTTGGAAGAAGTTAACATAAACATCCTCTAATATATTTTTTGCTATAACTTTTTTGTTTGGCACAAAACTGAATATTAAAAATTACGTACTTTTCGAACATTTGTGTCGTTCATCTTTTTGCCTTGAAACTAATCGTTTATTAATAAAACAAAACAAAATTCATTGTCATCAGCGTTATACCTCACATGATTGTAACAACCAAACCACAGACAAAATATGTAGCTATGGCGATAAGTTATATTGTCTGTGTAACAACTGAGAAATATTTAAATCGGCGACGGTCTTGCTAATTGCTATCATTAGATTTTTGAGTTTTACGAGTGTTTCCTGACATTTTCTATTTAGATATTTTGTTTTTTTATCATAAGTTTGGAAGAATTATGGCAAATATTTTTTCTAATGATGAATATGTTGACATGCTGCAATATGAATGTGGGAGAATACTGACCCATCTCGAAGGAAATATGTAATTTTTGCATCGCAAAATAGACCCCTAATTAATATAGATATATGTACCTACCTATATTTAAGAATCACTATATATAGGGACACCCTATCACCTTTCAAAAAAAAACTTGTGTGCAAGTTCCTCATCGAAAAATAATAAGGATAGTTCATGTAAAGTTTTTTCTTAGACGCCCTGTTTTCGAGATACTGTATGTTGAACTTGTTACTTTCCAAATCGTTTTTCTTAATTATCTTTAAATCGGCTAAAGATAAAAATGTCAAAATTTGTACACGAGTAAACATCATCATCATGTGCATTAAGAATCATGTGCAAACGGTTTTTTTCTGAAAAGCAGTGTCGCTGATACAGGTAATTGGAAGGATACAATCTAAAAAAAATATGTTTGAAGTAAAAATTTATTACATTTCTAAACGGTTCTGTAAACTCTAAAGCATACTACAAAAAAGGTATATTTGTTGAAATTCGCTAGCATGTACCATTTTCGAGAAGTTGCATAGAAGGAAATGGGGGCAACTTCAGTATCTACTGCAGTATTTCAAGTTTGCACATTTATTTAATTGTACAGCTGTTTCGTTCTGTATGTCTCCGAGTCCTGTGTCCTAATATTTTTCTGTTTTTATCACTTTTTTTAAGCATTCATGTCCATCAACAATTCAGTCCATTCAACGATTGTTTATTTTAGAATGGTAGTGTAGTAGTAGTTTACAAAATCTAAAATTAGTTAATAATAGATAATTAATTACCATAATCTGTTTATTTTGATTTACTTTTTTAAATGTTAGTTTACAACAAACTGACACTTAAACAATTTTTTTTTTTTTTAGTTAATAAAATGTTTTACATTTTAACTGTTTCATGTGATACGTAAGAAATTAAAATTATAGTCTTAAATGCAAATACTGTTGGTAGCTAAATGTCTTCAGCTCATTGAATGTTAAGGTCCTCTTTCAATTTAATATTTTGTTAATGTACTTGTGCCGCTTTATGTTATCAAAAAATATGGAACATCATTTTTCTCGAAAATGGTACATGCTACCGAATTTCGACAAGTATACCTTTTTTAGTTTAAAGAAACGTTTCGAAATGTAATAAATTTTTACTTTTAACACATTTTTTCTTTGATTGTACCTCTTCAATTACCTGTATCGACGACACTGCTTTTCAGAAAGAAACCGTTTGCACATTATTCTTAACGTACCGTTGATGTTTACACATGTACAAATTTTGACATTTTTATCTTTAGCCGATTTAAAGATAATTAAGGATAACCATTTGGAAAGTAACAACTTCAACACACTGTATATCAAAAACAGGGCGTCTAAGAAAAAATTTTACATGAACTACCACCATTATTTTACCATGAGGAACTTGCACACAAGTTTTTTTGAAACATGAACGGGGCATCCTGTATAATTAGATATTATGATTAATATAAGGATTAACCATTGATTTTTGTTTCCTTCAAATCTTCGTTATTTTTCATATGAATTATATTATTTCTAGTTTAGAAGAAAACAATAATTTATAAACGCAAAACTAAATATGTCGTATGACTAATTATTATTATTGTTCTTCTGTTGTTCTGGAAAAGTTCTCATATTTCCATTTAGAGAAATATACATTTTTAGTTTCCTAGTCGGCGGTGATGGGAGAATTTATGAAGGTGCCAGTTGGCATAAAGTAGGTGCCCATACAAGAGGTTACAATAGCAGATCTTTAGGACTTGCCTTCATTGGGAATTTTTCAGGTATGTCTTTGTCCATCTCTTTAAAAACTCTTTTGCTTATTACTCATTTTACAGATAAGCTACCCAATCCTACCCAGCTCAAAGCTGCCAAAGACTTTTTGCAGTGTGCAGTGGAACTAGGTGAATTAGATAGAAATTATCAAATGTTTGGGGCTCGTCAAGTGAGTGCCACGGAAAGTCCAGGAGCAAAATTATTCAGTGAATTAAGGAAGTGGCCAAATTTCTCCAGATCGCCTTAATTATAGGATGTCTCCTAATTTGACTGTCAAGCTTCTATAGAGCCGTAGATCAAAATTTCAAATTGTTAACCCCTAGTTCAAATGAACTAGGGGTCAACTTCGACTCCTTATTTTGATATAGAATATTATGAAGATATAGTAGCTTAAAAATGACATCTTGATATATAGTAGCTTAAAAATGATATATAATAGCTTTAAAATGATATGTAGTAGCTTAAAAATGATCTCTTGATATATAGTAGCTTAAAAATGACCTTTTGATGAATGTTTTTTTTCTTAAATTTGTTCAATTGCCATCATTCTTTTAGGGTAAAAACTTGCATTTTCCAAAATTTATATAAAAAATATTAATCAATAGGCGAAACCGCTTCTAAATTTGGTATTGATCCTCGTAAGGAGTAGTTGATTTTTGGGTTAATTTTGACCAAGTCACAGAAATTTAACAGTCGAATTATTAACGGACAGTGAAGTAATAGAGACGATGCGATACAAAAAATATAAGAATATATGATATTCTATACCAGTGGCTCGTGATAATTAGGAGTAATAGTTTTATTCCGGTAGGGATAATTTGGGTTAAGAGTTTCGTTATCGGAACTCAAGAGGAAACGTGGTACATTCTCGTAAAAAGCCTACATTAAAAATTTCAAACAACAGTTTAAATGCTGAAAGTAAAGAAGTAATAAATAATAAATCAATAAATAAATTAAATTTTACGTACATAGTTGTTATTTAATGTATTTAAACCGTACCGCAGGTACTATGAGAAGAGTTCTCTAACTTTTTAAATAGTGCGTACTCTCTCACATTGCGCTTCTCACTGGCTAGATAAAATTGGTTGAACTGTGCATACATGTAATACATGTTTGCAGTCGTCCATGTATTTGCTGTTGTTTCTCTCCCGTAAGGAAAAATAATTTATATAAAATCATATAATTTGTTTTCTAATAAATATGAAATAAATCTGTAGTTGAAAAAGCAGATATTTAAAAACAAATAAATAAGTTTCGATTTTATAAATAATTACAGTATTAAGTAGAAAAAAAAACTAAATAATTATATAGTAAGTTTTTTTTCACAACCTCAGCAAAAAACCTGGATTGTTCACCGCCTCGCCATTGCCAGGCCGACAGGGCATGTATTGGGTGTCGCTAGATACGTACGTAATAAATTGATCGATGCGAAGCTTCAGATCAGGGGCAGATCGTACAATGATGCGGATAGCGGGGTTACTAAAATGTGAAGTAGCCACTATTAGTAAAAATAGCATACATTAAAAATTACGACAATTTTAGATATGCGTCAGTGACCTCGGTAAATGTTGAACGGCCATTATGAGTTAGAAATTATTTTTGTTAACTTTTGCTGGTATTTATTACCTACTATCCTTATATATTTTATGGTAACTTCCACGTGAAGCGTTTAGTATAGAAAAGTAGGCATTACCTAAGTAAGCAGTATAACCATACTATATTCTAAATAATTATTTTCATTTATTTTCTTATGCGTATAAATTTGTTCTAAATTTTTTGGTATTAAGCAAATAGCATAATATAATTTATATTTCACAAAATTGTGTTTCTTCTCCACTTTTACGGTTTCTGAATGTGTTCAAAGCTGTGAGCTAAGAATTACTGCTCCACTCGCCATCTACCTGCCAGCAAATCAATTTGCGTCTCTTGAACAGAAGGGTGTAAATATTTCTGCAATTACATAATTGAAAATGTCCTTTTCGGTATACACCCTCATGTTTAGTTATGCTTTATTTTATAAGATGGTAATATACGATTTTGATTAGGATTGAAAATAAAAATACAGGTATAATATAGAGGGTGTTTGTAAATAAGTGATAACTATTACATGTTTATCACAATTAAACTTTGATTATACTAATATTTATTCATTTAATTGATACAACCTGCTATTAACGTTTTTATTAATTGACAGTTATATTTACGTAAAATAAAAAGAAACAATAATAGCGTAACGTAGTAACGGTCAAGTAACACAGATGGCATAAAAGTGCAAATTTGATATATTCACTTAACAATAAGTGCGAAATATATTAAGGGGTGGTTGCCGAAGTTATTTCGTGAAAAAAATTTAGATAATCGTAGGTCGAAATATGCTTCGTGTCCGAGATACAGAGTGTTTAAATTTTATTTATTTATTTATTTTTATTCATTATTTTAAGAGTTTTAAAGATATTGACTCGAAATTTGATGGTTGTATTTTATTTAGAAATATTGACAGCAACCTACTAGATAATGTATAAATAGATATTAAAAATAAACTATACTACTACTACTATATATAAACTAATAAACTTGCAATAAAATATATTTTATTTTTTGCCTCAAAAATGGTGCATCCTACGAAAAAATTGAAGAGACCAATTTTATTCAGAATTGATGGCGGATTTCTAAACAAATATCAAAACGGGAAAGAGTCAGTGGCGTACCATTTTTTTATTAAAAAATGTTGTGACATTCTCGCACGAACGCCACTGGTGCAAGTGGAAATATTCGGATAGCGCCAAAAAATGCACATTTATCCCTCCAAAACGTTTTTCAAATTTCGAGTCAATATCGTTAAAACTCTTTGAAATAATTGATAAAAATAAATAAAAAAATAAAACACACTGTATCTCGAAAATGAAGCGTATTTTGACCTACGTTTATATGAACTTTTTTTCACAAAATAACTTCGGCAATCACCCCCTAAAATATTTCGCACTTATTTACAAACACCCTGTATACGTCTGTAATTGCAATTTTCTTTTAACACGGAAATAATCCTTTTAACGACCTATTTAGTTTACTGACGTAACTGAATTGTAGGTACGGCACATATATAATTAAATATAAAGAAATTATTCAAGAATGTTCAAGAAAAGTATAATTAGGAATTACTATTGCGAAGAAATACTAGCGTTCTAAATATTACGGACCGTTTCTAACTAAAAAAACTGATTAAAAATTTGACATTTACGGTCATTCTATCAGCCTTTTACTGCGATTAAAAAGGTATATTTGTTCATCTTAAATATATTTTTTGATTATGTGTATGTGTGAATATTTTATTAGCTGCGCATGTTATACAGGGTGATTTCACTTTAAATACAAAAACTGCAGGACTAGATTCATTACCAAAAAATAAGTAGAGTTTGCTCTATAGACTTTTTTTCTGTTGGAGTCTGTATTCGAGATACAGGATGTTAAAGTTGACAAAAAAATATATGTTTTCTGCCAAATCTTCATAATGCGCTGACGGAATTGAATGAAATTCACTATAGCGTATTCACTTAATTAGACCTTTTATTGAATTAATTGAAATTGAATTGAATTAAATTGAAATTAACTTTGTGGCTTGTGTGTGCTACTGGAGGTGCCGCCCCATTTTCCTAAGAAAAAACTACGTCACTAGAGGTTTTTTGTAGAAATAATGTTACATTCAGGTTCTGCTAAATGAATGAAACATGTTTCCTGGTGTTTTTTAATAGTCGTAGCCGTTTAGGAGATATTTGGGCTTGTTTTTACTTCTTATTGAATTTTCCCAGTAAGCAAAGGTTTTTTCCAGGAAAAAAATGTAGAAGTTTTTTTCTCACCGGTACTATATGTTTTTTGGGGTGTCGAATCCGAATCTGAGGTTTGCCACCTCGCCAGGCGTCACTTTCACAAGGAAAATTGCAAAAACCTCACAATTTCGGCATTTTTTTCAGTTTTTTAACTATAACTATAACTAAGCGATTTTTAATTATAACTATGATATACCAAATTAAATGATTACCTGGTATGTCCAGGTTACATCTAAGGAATTGTCAAACGTGAGTGAGGTTCGTATTATGGTCAACGGGCCTCCTAGTTCAAACAAAATCGTACTACTCTTAAATCAAGGGGAAGATAACTATAATAGAATCCATGTTGTTCATGTTCATTATGGACAAAATTTATTATGTCTTTGCACAATAGAGTTTAATATTATTTAAAAAAAAAGAAAAATCAGAAAATAAGATTAAGAAGAAGTATACCTGCATAAGGTTCAGGATGTTCCGTTTAGATGGACCAGGCTGTATATCCGGTGCGACGTAACGTTTTCTTTTTAGGCCCATCCGGGCAGTGGACTGCTCGAACTCTTGAAGCATGGGCACTGGTCTCTCCACTGGAGAAAAATATTATTATGACATCTTGATCTGTGAAGGTATAGTTCCTAATTTACAGTGATAAATACTAGATTAGAATAATAATTACTTGTAATAGTATAAATTACCTTCGATCTTCTCAGGTGAAATGTGTTGATCGTCATCATTAAGGTGGCCATATCCCTTGCCGAGAAATAGTCAAATTTCTGGCGTTTTAGGTACTAAAATCTTGAAAAATAAAACGTGTAGAGCAAAAGCCCAAAAATAAAATCATTGATGTTCTGTTTATTCATTTTTACTATTTGAATTTACTCAAATAAAATAATAACTTAAAACAAGTGTTTGTAAAACATATGTGTTTGCTGTTATCCTAACCCCACATTTTAAGAATTATTTTCACATACTTATAAATAAATGTAAACAATTTTATTTGTAGGACTAAGCAAATATATGTTATAAGAATATTTACATGTGGAGTTATACAGCGTGTCCCACTAGTGCGGGAAAGTCCAATGTTAAAATGAGGAATAGGGAAAGGGAGGCACATTCAACCTTGGGGCACTTTCAACCAGTCTCCATTATTACTAAGTTTATTTGATTTTAGTTCTGAAAAAATTCATACATATGGTCAGTGGACCCATAGCCACTACCAAATAGTTTGGTTGTTGTTCTATACTTGTTGTGCAAGAAATAAAATAAAGTGTGGTTTTACCGAATTTAAGGTAAGTTTTATCTTGTCAAAAAACTATTCTCTGTCTGAGTCTATATAATACCATCGATTTTTTATACCAATATATGTTTATGGCACATATTTGTAGAGTAAAATTCGGGAAATCTCCTAACCTACAAATGTAATTTCAAGAATTCGCAAGCAATATTTGTTCATAGTCACTACGGGATAGATTCAACCACCGATAAACGGGGCACTTTAAACCGGTTGAAAGTGCCCCACTAGTGATTTTTTGTAGCTAACCAACTAATTTTAAATAAATTTTTATTAACAAATACAACTGCAGCTTTAGATTTTAAATACTTTTAGTAAGTTTTTGGGATTTCGGTTGTCGACAACAGGGTTTTAAACGTTTAATTGATAGATATATCTATTTTTAGAT